AGTCTGGACTTGCTATTAAAGGACATTCTCATTAAGTGTGTCTCGGCTTTCGTTACTGGATGGAGGAGGGGGTCAGAACACAAATCCATCTGGTGGTAATAGCTGTCTATCCTATTTTTTTTTAGCTTACCAAGAAATTAGTTGTGGTCATCTTGTGATCCAAATCATTTTCTAATATGTTTTTGGACAACTTTACCTTAAAAGGTGGTAGATTTGTAAGTTCTGGGATTTTATCCACCAATATTTTACTCTGACTGGATTCTTTTGATAGTAAGGCTTGCAAAGAATGAGCCACAACATAGATACCGTTATAGATGCTATAACTATGACCTGTCATTTGCATTTCAAAGAGAGGTCCAGGAAGGCTGTGGAGATTCTCCTCCCCAGTACATTTTCCCATGTCCATTGCTGGTATTTCTGAATTAGACAAGAAACAGTCAAATGCTTGTTCCCAAAAATCCTTTAGAAATCCATTTTCTTGTCTCCCAGAAGGTTCTATGGACTTCAGAAATTCTTTGAATGCTGGAACTTCCCCTGAATGTATCTGAAAAGAAATGGCTCCATCAAAGAATTGGAGATCCCACATCTTTAGACTCCCTGTGAGTATGAAGTCAACTTGACTTGTTGTGACCCATACTTTTCTAAGGGATATATTTAATTGATCTTCAGGGTGGCTTAGAAATATGGGTGATAGGAGCCATAGAATTGTATAAGCCTCTCCATAGAAAATAAATACATTGGCTTTAATGTCTGTGAGATGTACATACAAACTTTTCATCTTATCGCTAAATGTATGGAGGTCATCCATTGGAAGCAGAAGGGGGATTCTTTCTATGAAGGCTGGACAGATTCCATGCTGGGAAAGCATCCCCTGTAGCTCCTTCAAAAATTGTTCTCCGCTCTCATTTTCGACAGCAAAGAGCCCAACCCATTTCCATCCAAAATGTTGAAGCAATCGGATAATCCCAATGTATAAAGGACCCTCGTTTGGTGCCATACAATAAAAAGGAGATAATCTACTGATACGAAATTCTTTGGGGGGAAAGGATCCATATGGCAGCTAAAAGAAAACAAAAGAATATTCATCAGAGGATTTAAATAATGTGTTTGTTTGTTTGTTCGTTCATTTGTTCATTTGTTTGTTTGTTTGTTTGTTTGTTCGTTCGTTCGTTCGTTCGTTCGTTCATTCATTCATTCATTTCATATCTCATGTTTCTATTTAGTTTCAGATTTACTTCCAATCATGTTTTTGTGAGGATAAACACATGAGAATGTATACTGAGGTTTGCAGATGATACAACAGTGATTGGTCTCATTCAAGACAACGATGAATCTGCATACAGACAGGAGTTTGAACAACCAGCCTTGTGTTGCAGCCAGAACAACCTTGAATTAATACACTCAAAACCATAGAAATGGTGGTAGATTTTAGGAGAATCCCTCCTATATTATCACCTCTTACAATACTAGACAACACAGTTGAAAGTAGAGACTTTCAACTTTCTAGGTTCTATCATATCTCAAGACTTAAAATAGACAGCTAGCATCAAAAACGTCATCAAAAAAACACAATAAAGAATGTTCTTTCTGTGCCAACTCAGGAAGCAA